GTTTTTTTTTTTGAGGGGGAGGGAGAGGTGATCGCTTGGATAAATCTTGTTCACGGCCGAATCGTCCGGATCGTCATATTAAAAGTCGAGTCCGTCCCTCCCGATTGCAAACTCACGTCTGTCTTTCTCTGTGTTATTCGGCAATCTCGGGGCGACCTGAGAAGGACGCGTACCTGAGACTGTTGCGTCTCCGTTACTCCCTGTTTCAGAAATCCCGCGGAGATGTCTCACACTTGCCGCGGAACGATTTCCTTACACGGGGCCTTAATACACACGGTGGACGCCTGCACCTTCGTCGTGAGCAACGGCGGCACGCAGACCTTCCACATCAAGGCGTCGACCGAGGTGGAGCGGCAGCAATGGGTCACGGCTCTCGAGCTAGCAAAAGCCAAGGCTATCCAAGCGATGGAATCTGGTTTGTACGATTGTACAATAGATCGTGTCTGTGTATTGCGTAAACCTGTCGTTTTTTCGGTACATCTGGGTACATCGAAATTTTCTGGATGCTTTTTTTACCATTTAAAGGGAGCCTAAAGTCGTCTGCTTTATCAATTCAGTAGGATCTTCACGAACGTACAAATTTTCTAATTAACTAATCTTTTATATTAATTATCTAAGTCTAATTTTAGGAACTCAATATTGTTTGTTCACGCTAATCCCTAATTCGAATCAAGATTGTTTTATCATACACGTCCAAAGTATAGTATACCAAGCAAATATATTGTTTATACGAATCGACGCCGAAAAGCCGACGCAACTAATAAAACTAATTTTCCAACTTTTTTTTCGTTTTTAATATAATATAAACTCAATTGGTTGGTAATACATTATCCTTTTACATTTATACCTTAAAAAAGGATTTTCAAATCTATGTATAAAAGTAGTTAGAAAAATATTTATTTAAAAAATAAATGGTAATATAAGGTGACTTTAGGATTCCTTCAATCCTCCGTCTGCAATCTAAATCTTTTTCAGCATAAGCGAAATTGTACTCTCAGATTTCTTTGTTCTTCCTCATTTTTGCTGAACTTTTAATTTTTATAATGATAGCTTTAACATTTGAGTTAAAAAAGTTATTTAGTAATGTAATAGAGATGTGATTGAAAAATAACTTTGAAGTTTCTCGTATTTTTTTGAAAGCCTAAAACAATGAAAAAAAATTGGATTGGATAAAAAAAACCCAGATTGCAGACGGACGGAGTAAAAATATATGATATATTGCAAACAGAGAGTTAAATTAATAACTATGGAAGATTAATGTCTGCAAATAGTTTTGTTTAAAATACTTTAATTTGGCGCACAGAAAATTAAAATGTAATAAAATTTTCATTTTGATGGATTCGTCAATTAGAAACTATGATTTTATAAACATTAAAAAAAGTTTTAAAATCGATATGTATGAACGGTAACTTGAAAATTTTTATTAAATAAATTTTAATAAGCTAAAGTATTTCTCTATATATGTATATACAATACTCGTATATCAGCAGTTTAAGAAATAGGTATTGTAAAAAGGTATTTAAAAAAATGTTTTTGTGCGATGTAGTAAAATAAAATCAAATTCAATCTATTTCCTAAAGAGAGTCAATATATTTATTACGAATAGATTTTAACTTTATTAATTAACATTTATGAATTAACCTTCAGGAAAGGTTTATCTTTTTTATTCTCTTTACTTATTAAGTGTTTGAGAGATTGGAAAATATCCTGTATAAAATGTAGTATTCAGAATTAATGTGATTTATGTATTTTAGATATAAAGCTCGAATTGCAAAGTTAATATTAAACTTTGAGATTTTTTTCGTGAATTTAAATCAACCACATAGTTGCACATAGTATTAATAGAATATTCCGTTGCTATAATTAATTTTATGAACGTTCTTACATCTATTATATAGATTATTGTATTATACTGTGTGCGTGCGTGCGTGTATAATTAATGAATTTGATTTGCATCGCAAACGACTGCAATACCGATATGATGATTATACATTTGCATAACTGTCGTGTTGCATCTCTCTTTTTTTTTATATATTATTGAGCTTTAGTACTTCGGCGACGTTATGCGGCGAAATCTCTTTTAGAAGAAGAGGAGGAGGAATATCAAGATAACGACAATCAAAACGTAGAAACTGCGTCTGTGATTAAGGATCTAACGCGACGATTGGATGATCTACAAGCGTGCAATGACTTGATGCTTAAGCAGGGATCTGGGCTCCAACGAGCTTTATCCGATTTGGAAATGGTAGAGCCTCCGTCCCCCGAATTAGCAGCGAAATTCAAGATCGTCAGCGAACGAGCCACACTTTTTCGGATTGCGGCGAATGCTATGATTAGTGTAAGTTTAAACCAAACGATAATCTGCAAAATTGTACGACGCAAAGTATCAGCGAACGATGCTTTTTTTCTGCATTTATTTGCAAATCTTGTAATAGTGGCACCGCGTATCATATTATCTGATTAGAAAATCTATTTTTCCATTTAGAATTCCTGTTTTTCTCAATGTCAGGATATCAACAATCGTGACTGTAGTAATGTTTTAATACAGCACCATTAAGTCGCCAAAATCTTTAAATATTCTTAAAAAATCAAGTCGAGTTAAGGATATCGCATGATGTGGGATCTGAATAATGCTTTGAAAGATGATAACATTAATTTGCCATTATTTTACTGGACTTGCTGAATAAATTCTTGAACTTGTTTTGTGAACATCTCGTAAATCTTATCGTAACGATATTATATATATACGATATTATATAGCATGACTGAGCGTGATTCATCCAACGAGTGGAAAGAGAAGGGGGAAATCTCGAGATACAGTTAGTAATTAACTTTTCATATGAATGATACGTTCAAAGTCTATGTAGAAATTCACAAGATTTGCAGAGAGCAGAGTTTAATTCTCTTGCCAATCAGAGTTGTCTCATTCACGAAATTGCCCTCGACATTGGCATTCTCTCTATTGATGCGATTTATCACCGATGTGATCCCACACAAAACGCAATTTATGACAACAGATTGAACATGTTGTTGCAGACGAGCAGCGATTACTTGCAACTAGCCCAACAACAAGAGCCTAAGTGGAAAAAGATGCTACAGCACGAGCGTGATCAGAAAGTACGGATAGAGAAAATGGTCGAGCAGTTAGCTAGGCAACATTCCCACCTGGAGGAAGCCGCGCAACATGCGATTCCTTCAGCGACGCCTGCGGGAGGACACAGACCTTCACGTAAATAAATTGATTTCTATTCTTTTCTATTTCGTTTCGTTAGCATGCACTTGTTGGCGCATTTTTAATACTTTTACTGCCATATTATTGCTCAAAAGCATCAAATTTTATTTAGTTTTAGAAAACAACGATAATGAAATCTGTTTTAATTTGTTAAACAGAATTTCGTTTATTAATACTTAAAAACCGCTCTCTGAATGTATGCTTTTTAATTATATTATTTAGAATCAATTTTTCTTTAACAAAAATATTAAGTAACAAATCATTATTAACCGATTATTTATCGGTTTTATAATTTTTTATATGTTTGTATAACTAGCTCTAAATTAAAATTCTCTCTCTATAGAAGATAATATACCACCATCTGAACTTATCTGAAGAATAGTTTTATTACTCAAGATTTAAAAATCAAAATTAATTAAAATATTTTGAAGGATGGGAGGAGGAGAGAGAGAGAGAGAAAGAGAGAGAAAAAGAACGTACATTAGATTTATATATACGCTACACTACGTGAAGAAATATAATAGCGGCTCTGTCGAAATTTTAATTAAATGTAAATTTTTTTCTAGATAACATTTTTTTTTTACCACCAATCTTTTGTAGCATATTGAAACTAATTAAGTATGGCAATTAAATGATGTCTAAAACAGAAAATCTCCAGACTGAGGTTCCTTCAGACGGAACGAAAATTACACTTAAAAATTCGTATTCCTCGTTGACATTTAGCCGAGTTAGCCCTCGCTCGAGTCTGTATTTAATTTATCTTTTTTCTTTCTTATATAAAAAATGATATTCGTGACGTCGAAGCGGCAATTTAAATCTCAGCGGCTGCAGTCGCTTGTCCCTGTTCGCGCTAGGTGGCCTCCAGGAGGCATCGCCGCGCCGATACAACGCGTCGCGTTATCACGTGATTACGTCAGCCGTGGTCTACGCAGGTCTACGTATGTCTACGTATGCATCGTCCATCCGTAAATTCGTATTCGTACGGGTTACGATTGGCGCTATACACATAGGAGAAAATCGAGGGTTTATCCGCGCCGTGCTCTCATCTGACGTCTCCCGTCCCGTATATAGGTAACATAGTAATTTATGTATATCATACGTACGTCCGCACACGACACAGTCGGGTGTGCTGCTTCCGTTTCCTCCGAGAGTTGGAGGCTTAATCGGCGGGAGCCCCCGGAACGGTTAGAGCGGTCCCGCAAATCATGGAGAATCGTTCGTTCTTTCCGTTATCTCCGATAATGCGATACCCTGAGTTCCGAACGGCGCGATCGCTTTTGGTGCAGACAATGGGATGATCGGTGCATCAAAGGATAACGAAGGATACGATAATTCCCTAAGAAAAGCTTACAACGAGCACATTCGGTTTGTCGTTGGCGTTTCATAATGATTCTCGCGGTCACCGAGAGTCGCGGAATTGCGCGCGGAATCGAGAGGAGAGCGGAAATCGCGTGTGATTCGATTAGAGGGGAGTGTGCGTGAGTTCGTGAATCGTGTTGGTTGTATCGCTTGCGATAGCCTCCTTTTTTTATCTGTGCGCGCCTCGAAGAAAGAAGAAAGAGGGTATACTCGGGACGGAGCGAAGCCAAAGCGTTCCTCCGCAACGCCGCGCCGCGCCGCACCGCGTCAGTTTGAGCGAGCAGTGAGCAGGTCACGGGCCGGAGCGCTACGGAGCGCTACGGAGCGCTACGGAGCGCTACGGAGCGCTATCCGACGGCGCGGCGGCACATTCGATTCGATTCGATTCGACGCGACGCGACGGAAACGGGAGTCTGGAAAGGCAAAGGAGGGTGGGCAGAGCCGAGCTCGAGTTTATCGGTCGCGCGAAATGAACCCCAGCTCTCGAGACGGATCCACGCGGTGGACTTGCCGCGCGGGGCTCGCGGGACGTCAATATCGATTCTTTATTACGCGATACGATCTCACGAACGCGAACGCGGGTGACTCGCGTCAACTGGCATAACTTGCTCGCGCATGCCGTCGCGTCGTAATTTACACGCGCCTTTTCCTTCCGAGTTCCGCGTCATTCTCAAACGACCAACAATTCGATTCCGTCGCGCTGCGCCGAGATAAATACTTGATCCTTATCTCGATGCTTATCCAGACGATTTTCGTGCGATTAGTGACGACTCTGCGCAACACTCCGCGTTCACGTGCTCCGTCCAATTTTTTTACCTGTCCCACCTTGGAATTTCTACGCGACATCATACCTCGCATTCCGCGTTCGCGTCGCTTGTCGCTTGTCAAATGGAAAATTATCACTTTGCAGATCCCGCAATTACAACGTCACCGTCGGAGGATGAAGAGGATAACGCCGAATTTTACGACGCCCAAGAATCGGACACTTTCACACTAACTATACCCATCGCCACGAGCAATTCCATTTCCCATGCGAGAGATCGCACCGATTCCCAAGGTAGCGACGATGGCTCTAGTTCAGAGGGAGATCCAACGCCCTTGCCTGTCTCTGATTCCACTGGAGCTGATTCCTTCCTCATTGTGACCGATTCCACTGCTGCGCAGACTCTCTCGGCTGTTAGAATCACCAACAATCTGGATATTGTAAGCAAATTACATTCTTTCTCTTTTTTCCTCCTCTCAAGTAAAATGACACGTAACGTAGGATGTTAGATATGTTTTTTTTTTTAACACTCTGTAACACAGAAAAGCTGGCGATCCAATAATGACAGTAGCAGCACCGGGATGACCACCATTTCGAAACGGAAACGAAGGACCAGGGTACCTGACAAACCAAACTATCCCTTGAACCTATGGAGTATAATGAAAAACTGTATTGGCAAAGACTTGTCCAAAATTCCTATGCCGGTCAACTTTTCTGAACCGCTCAGTATGCTTCAACGATTAACAGAAGACTATGAATACGCGGATATTCTTGATAGGTATAGTAGTAAATATATAGATATTTTTAGTCGCGTCTTATTTATGCAAATAAATTGATGACTGATGTAATTTTTTTGCTTTTTTATACATAAATAGGGCTGCAGAATGTACAGATAGTTATGAACAGATGGCTTTTGTAGCCGCGTTCACTGTGTCTAGTTACGCTACAACCGCCGCTAGAACGGGAAAGCCTTTCAATCCCCTTTTGGGTGAAACTTACGAATGCGATCGTACGGATGATCTTGGATGGCGCTCGATTTCAGAGCAAGTGTCTCATCACCCGCCTATGCTAGCTCAACATTGCGAAGGAAAGAAATGGCGATGTTGGCAAGAGTTTACAATGGCTTCTAAATTTCGTGGAAAATATCTGCAGGTACAATGTCTTGATACATCTGATAAGACATACCGATTATACAATACATATCGCAAATAATCACTCAATCTCGTCGTCAAATCAAATTATTACGCGCATTGTTCTTGAACCATTGTTCTTTCTAAATATAATACAACCGTTTTTTGGAAATGTAATTTTATGATTTTGCTTGAATTAGGTGATTCCTTTGGGTACTGCTCATTTAGAATTTCATAGTGGCCAGCATCATTACACATGGCGAAAAGTCACTACTACGGTACATAATATTATAGTCGGAAGATTGTGGGTCGATCAGAGTGGCGATATGGATATTGTAAATCATAAGGAAGGTATCAAGTGCCATTTGAAGTACATACCGTACTCGTACTTTTCGCGAGACAGTCAGCGCAAGGTGAAGGGCGTAGTCATGAATTCCAACAAGGAAGTCAAGTGGGTAGTGCAAGGTACATGGGATTCGAAGATCGAAATAGCGCCGGTAATCAGCACAACTGGCACACCCGATAATCCAGTTTATAAAACAGGTCCTTATATATTAGCTTGGAAACGACGTATGCCTATGTAAGTATATAGCAATAATATCCGTGTAAAAATTAAACCTATTTACTTATTTTATTTCTTAAAGTTGTGTGTAAATTTTATATCGTTATCAACATATACATGTATAATATATGGACGACTTTTTCCAATAGAAATTAGATAATTTCCATGCTGAAAAGTATATCCCAAAACAAAAGTCGATTGAAAAGATCTTTTATTAGAGAAGAGGGCACAACTTTTTTCGCGATCGTTCAGGGATCGTTTTATTTCTACACTTTCTTTTGTATTTTTTTTTCGTAAAAATCGAAAATAATGATGCTGACAGTGACGTTACGCTGAAAGAAAAATTGTTACGTTTACGCGAAATAAAATTAATTAATAATTTTCTTATTGACTACGAAATTGCTATCAATTATGTTTCGGTCATTTAAAAATTAATTCTTGAATCAACAACTATGAATTAGTTTTTAAATTATTCAAGTATAATTAACAATTTCAACGATGTGAATGAGGACTTTATTTCAATGTTTTCATCAATTTTTTCTTGAATATAGCGCTCTTATAATTAATTAATTATAATAATTTATTCTCTCTTATAATTCGCTCTTATAATAATTTTCGATTAAATTACTAAATAAAATGATCCTCGCACGATCGCGAAATAATAAAAGTTGTATCCTCCTCTTTACTTATACATAATATCTTTAAAAAATATTTAAAATATATCTCAATACTTAAATATAATATTGCAGCGATGACTCTGAGAAATATTATTCATTCACGGAACTAGCGTGTCAATTGAATGAACCAGAAGAAGGTATAGCTCCAACAGATTCTCGGTTGAGGCCTGATCAGCGGTTAATGGAAGATGGACGGTGGGACGAAGCCAATGCAGAAAAATTGCGTTTAGAGGAAAAACAAAGAGCTACTAGACGAGCTCGCGAGCATGATTCCGAAAATGCTACAGCACAAGGTATGTTTGTTTGTATGATTAAATCGTGAAAATTAAGCTTCTCTTTTATGCTTATAAAATTTTGTATTTCTCCACAGGATTATCTTATGAGACGTACGAACCTCTATGGTTTAAAAAGAAGCAGGATCCGTACACGGACAGCCGTTGTTTTGTTTATAATGGCGAATATTGGGATCATAAAAGCAGAGGTGACTGGTCACGATGTCCAAACATATTTTAGTTCGTTGTATAGATAGATTCGATTGCAATAACTCTGTCATATACATGCAGTGCGTGAAGAAGTTTTGGATCGTTCAAAAGTGACGGTAGCCGAGATTAAAAGTCGCGACCGCTCGTGGTCGAGATTTAAATGCTTATGAAATAACGTTGACGTGATAATGGGGTTGTTACAGGATGTGGTTTAGCAATTAATTCTTCCAATGAAGTGGACGAAACTTGTTGGCAACTCTGACATGTACAATATGCAATTTGTACTTGCATGTCATCGCCTTCGCTATTATTTTCTACCTCTCTCCCTTTCTTTCTCCCCTTTTTCTTCCCTATCTTTCCTTTTGTCTCTTTTTTTCGAAGCTAATATCTAATTCCCTCAACATGATATTTTATTAATATGCACTTGCGTGCTACTTTTTTTAAGATTTTGTGCTGAATTAATGAGTAGCCAATCTTGAATTTTTGCGTTTATTACATTAGCTATATGTAGGAATTCGTAAAAAAAATCGAAGCTCGGGCAAGTCGAGAATGAATTCCGAATATTTCACTACTTTAGCCTAAAATCAAGATTGCAATAAGACTGTGTAAGAAGACGAGGATAAAAAAACTTTTGTCATTGAAGAGGAAGAATTTCAAATCAAGTTTAATGTGTTATTTTATAATATATTCAGTATTCTCAATTTATGTTTAGGTAAATATGAATCTAATTTTCTAGAAAGAATTTGAATTAAAGTTTTACCGAAAAGTCGCGATCGATATGCTATTGTATGTATATGCAAAAATCTTGTGTGTATTTCATTATTTTTAATCTATCGTAATCCATCGTTGAAAGTATTTGTATAAATACAGAGAAAGATGTGCAACGAGAATTAGAATCGAGTCGATACACTCGATTTGAATTAAAGATACGATGATTTCTCTCATTTATTTTTACAGAGGAAAAGAAAATACATCTCCATGTATTAAAAATTCAATTGATTTTTTAATGCATGCCAGTAAGTTTTAATTTTTTTTTTTTATAATTCTCTCATTGCGCATTTTCTACTCGATCTGATGTCTACAACAAAAAAGTCTGAAAAATGTTGGAAGTGTTGGAAATAAATCTTGATAGAGAAGAGTATTATGAATACAAGAGGAACAGTAAAACTATATACATTGGATTTATTCAGTGATTTCGAATACACGCGCGCCATAATTAACATTTTACACACGTAATAAACCGACGACGATGATGCTTCCAAGTTTGGTCAGCGTTTTTTTACAACAAACGATAAAGAGAAAAAAAAAAAGAAATCATGCCATTTCACGTCTGCACAGATTTCAAGCACGCTAGATGCGCTCCGAATACTTTATCAAGCTATAACGCAGAGGTACGCGACGCGCGTTATCACCGAAATGGAACGACAAAAACAAAGCGAGGCGCGAATCGAAGACTCCTAAGTGCTGCTCAGCCCGATTAAAGAAAATCGAAATCGGATCCCCGATCGTTTGTTCGTTTCTCGAAATTATTGCTGTAGCATAGAAAGACGCGTGCACCCATAGGTACGTGCGACCGATTTATAGCGAATGATTTGCGTGCGTACGTATGTATGTGTTTGTATGTATGTATGCCGGTATGTACATAAAGCGATTAATTGGTGAAACTTATTGTATATCCTTCTTACTTATGAGCACATAGGCCATTCCATTCGCGATATTATCAGGTACATACAAGCTGCCTTGTACAAGTATATACCTCGATAAACCGAACGGAACGACTAACTTGCAGCCAATGTCTATAATGATCATTACGCTAAGTCCTCTGGCTGTATTATAATTTTAATAGTTTATAATAATTGAA